AGTAAGCACTAACTCACCCGATAACGTCCCTCCTAAACTAATTCCCAAGGTTTTTCTTAAATGGGTTATGGAGACAAAACATGCTTCAGATATAGCGCGTTCAGGTTTGACCGCTCTTCAATCTTACTGCCATGTCTGTAAGGAATTTATTTCATCCTTATTTCATACAACAATAAGCACAAACTAAAGGAAAGAGCACTGGGTACTGAAATCAAACATTATTAGCACATCATACTAGTAACCTAGGACGGAACTTCTTTTCCCACTGAGCAACCTAGGCTGAACACCACTGTATTTACTCGGCTTAAAAAATATACATACATGCTGCTATATTAAAAGCAACGTCATTTACCAGGGAGTTTGAGTCTTTCTCACTTCTAAGCCTGCTGACTGCAAGAAACACCTCATTTTGAATGTCAAAATGACGGAAGGAGGTGCTATCTTAAGGCAATAGGTGCTCCAAATACTGAGGAACGGGTCCACTGTTCATCAGTGCAACGAGATCATTAATAGTGATCATTTTGTTCGAGCCATGACGGCGGCGATACGCGCATCCTTCCTCGTTTTGATACAGCGTGCCATCGGTCGATTTGCGAACCTGAAAACAAACATACTGCCCTAAACGCAGCAAAAATTGTAACAAGAAACAAAAAAGGACAAGAAGAGAATAAAATAAAAGCTACTTCGTATTGATTGTTTTTGAGTGTTCTGAGCCATTTCTGCATGGAATGAAATTAAATTGAAACTGCTCACCTCAACAACGGCTAAGTAAAGTTTAGACTCCATAGTTTCTTTAGTTTCTTCGCAAGGACATTTTGTATCGCCGATAGTATGATGGGTGGGGCCTTTCTGAAGAGCACTGAGTTTACAGGTAATACTTTCTGCAATAGAAGAAGGTTCATTCATAGGTAAATTTTCGGGCTCTAATCAACTATATCTTACCAGTTTGGCTGCGCACGCATTCGCGTGCATGAGACGGGGCTCAGCGGTAAAATCGGGCCCATCAGTATTTTTGTCTTGATTTTAGCTTTCTGCTCGGTACATCTTACTTACGCCGCAAAGCCGAATTATGAGGTCTTGTAAATGGCGTTATGAGTCACGAATTTCTGAGGCAGACCCCGCCCACTTTGGTGCATGGTTAGCCCAACAATGGCATTCAACCCTACTCCATACCTCAATACTTATGCACATTTTCCCCGGTCGCCGGAACTTCTAGGAACCGAGTTATGAGAGCGGTGGCAAACTCCGCCCACATCCGGGTGTGCCACGCCCAGCGTTCACATTCAACCTCTACTCCTACTTTCACCTCTGGCGTATTTTTTTCAGGTCTCTAAGTCGTCTCGGAGCAGAATTATGAGGTCTTGTAGGGGACGAAATCGAGCTACGTATCTTTGTGGCAAACCCCGCCCACTTTGGTGCGTGGGTCGCCCACTGATATCAGTCGGCTATCATCTCTTCCCCAACCTTTTTCTACTTTTCTCCCATCTCTGGAACTTATTGGAACCGAGTTATGAAGTACCGTGGCAAACCCCGCCCACTTTGGTGCATGCTCCGCCCGCCAACAACGGTTGACCCCTTTCCCTCTGCCAACCCTTCATACGCTTTTTTCCCGGACTCCGGGACTCCTAGGAACCGAGTTATAAGCCTAATTGCAAACTCCGCCCACTTTGATGTAAGCCACGCCCATTCCCTGACATTTAGCTTCCCCTCCCCTCCTGACCTCTATCCGTTGTTTTCCGGTCTCTAAGTCATCTCGGAGCCGATTTATGAGCTCTTGTAGAAAATGCTGTCCGCTTCACGACACGCTCCGCCCATTGTGGGCGGGCCTCCGTTCACATCATGCGTGGTGGAAATACCTTAGGCATTGCTCCCCTGCACTAATTTCGTTTCTGGTCTGTAGGCTTCCTCTTAACCGAGTTATGAATATTTTCACTGAGCACCCATTTTCTAGAGAACGCCCCGCCCACCGAGGGTGGGTCTCCTCAGTTCGATCTGGCTTACCAACCCACACCTATGCCCACTTTTGTCCCGGTCTCGAGGCTGTTTTGTGACTGAATTTGAAATCAACCGATGCACGCCACGCGCCCACTGTGGGCGGGGCTCCGCTTGGCTGATGTGTGTTTTTTACTTCTAGGGATATGGTATACCCATCCCAAACTTGACCTGGACCCTGTAGGTTGTTGTTCGCTTGATACCGAATTTCGTGACAGACACACAGACAGACAGACGACAGACGAAGCGCATTATATATAGTAGGATCATTTATGAAATGACACATTCTCGGCGTCGGCGTCATCTGGAGCCAGTTGACGTCACTTTGTCACGACACTTGTTTCGACCAAATTTAGTGTAAACTTCTGTGTTGAGGTTAATTAGAGTCCTGATTCAAATATGACATTTGTTTTTGACATTAGCGCTCTTAAACGCACATTTTTCTGAGCTCTCTCACCTAAACACAGCGATTAAGACTTAGCTCAGGGCGAGGAGGGACTCCGAAGTGGGTAAACGCGCGCCATAAGACAAAAGATGAAGCGCATGGGATCACAGGGAGAGTGACTTACTTACCTCGGAGCCCTCCTTCCCCTACAGGCTCAGTCCAATTGGCGATATAAGCAAAGAGCGGGCGCAGACGATCGGAAAATAGGCGCCAAATGACGCCACCGGTGACCCAAGTATTTAGTAGTATGTATGAGCCCTAGCGCCAAATGGCGCCAGCACTAAAACTGCATGTCATTTTCATATAAGGGCATCGAATCGCAAGTATGGGCGAAGTTTTGACGAAAAGTAAAGACTTTAAGATTTTAGTTTGTAACAATTGACTTGTTCCTTCGCATACATCAGTATCAGAATCGGCGGTGCTGTCGTGATCATGACCAACGTCTTCCACAAGAGGTGGCGGACCATTTTCTTCGCGCTGATTCAGTATCGTATTTTCCAATTCGATGAAGTGAACTGAAACAACCGCGAACAAATACGAGTAATACGACTATTTAAGCTTCTAAGTTCTCCATCGAGCCCTCGTATCAGTTCCTATTAGAAGCTGCAAATTTCTAGCATTACTACATACGTAATGTCGAGCTCTTACAAAAGTACTCACACAAAAGTACAAAAGTATAGGAGGAGGTGAGAGCCTTAGGACTAAGCCTTGTAGGGGGAGGGACTTCCGAGGTGGGTGAGCCAACATGTAGTGAGGCAAAAGAATGAATGTGTGAGATCACAGTAGTCATGAGCAGCTGATAAGGAGAAAGAGCGCAGACGAGAGCATCGAATTGATGCGGCTTAACCCTTTGACTACGACTTTTTTGAAACTAACTTGACTTAACTTGACTTGCGACGAATTGCTGTAAGGCAAGAATTATGGAGTTTCTATTTGTGCACAATTCCGCCGTCAAGCGAGCGCTCCTACCTCAATAACGTCCAAAACTGTGGTAGTGTCTTTGACTACGGAAGTGGTACACATGTGTACCAACAGTAGTCAAAGGGTTAAAGGATCAAGTTCAAGTAGTCCGTCGACCCGCAGTTTGGTAGCAAGTCTGTGTAATGCGATCAACAGGGCATCGCCGACTGGAGCCACCACGTACATCTTCGTTTCGAGACATGGGTGGATTCAGGATATGAAATCCCAGTTTTCACTTGAACTCATGCCAGCCCTTGCGACGAGTCGTATCCATAACGCCCACGTCGCATGCATACAGCTGGCTTCCTCCATGGCCTTCCATAAAAATTTGAACAGAGCACGAACTTATGACCAAGTTCATTATAAGCTTCAAAAAATGGTAGCATAAAAAACAATGACTACTCCAATTGGATCTCACCTTTGACAAGATCTGGAGGAACAGCAGGTTTGAACTGCGAAATACAAAAGCTCAGTGAAAGCAAGAAGTGTTCTTTCTGAAACTGGAATACTTACAATCGACAAATTTGCACTAGATCCGCTTTAATCGCAGCTCTTAGTCATATTTTGGATGCTCTGAAAAGTGAGGGCAGAGCCAACGTGTTCTTCAAATGGTTACAAAATTAGCAACCAGAAACTGTTTGAGTTGATGAAAGTAGAAGAATCTACAGAAGGGACCATTTTGTAGCGAGATTCATGAAGAATTTCCGATTTCTGATTTCTGCGTTTATTCCACCAGATTGGTAAGATCTTTCGGATGGTAGAAGAGAGCCAGTTGAATACAACGCAGAAACTAGCTATATTTCAGTAGCATAAAATCATCCAAGACATTGGCGATATTGTGTCCCCACGGCGATGTACGCTTTCCCCACGAGAGGCAACGCATCCCTATTCCAGAGTGAGGCATAACGAAGAATTCTTTTGCGTAGATGTCAAACTTAATATTGAGCGATTAGCTGAGAAAACGTCAACCGCACAACGTTGTT